AAGCATATAATGCTATTCTAGGGAATTGTGTGCTTCTAATTTTATACCAATAGTTTGAACAGGACCCTTTTCTATTCTAACACAACAATGCCTCTGTGTATAAGGCAAGGGTTAAAAAATAAATAAATAAATTGATTCAGTGTGGAAAAACTTGACTGGTCTGCATAAAGCCAAGTCCTAATCCCAGCTGAACACCTCTGGTGTGACTTTAAATTCAGACCGTGAGCCAAAAACTCTTCACCAAACACCAGTGAAAAGTATTAGGACACCCCCTTCTTTAGAACAGAAAAAGGCACTTCCAAAACTGTGGCAACAAAGATGGAAACATAATTCATTTTGTATTTCTATCTTTGTTGCCACAGTTTTGGAAGTGTCTAAAATGACTGTACCCATATGTACAAGTCATTGGTGTTTAAAGTCACAGCAGAGGTGTTCAGCTGGGATTAGGACTTGGCAGGGTCCTCTTCAAACTATTGGTATAAAATTAGAAGCACACAATTCCCTAGAATATCCTTATTTGTTTAAACATTAAGATTTGTACTCATGGAAATTACTAAGCTTCATACACTGTAGATAATTGTGACCCTGCCTGTGGAAACCCAGATAAAGTATTTTTTTTTAAACAGTGGATGAGTAATTCGCTCATTGATTTGCTTAATAAAAGCCACCTTTGAGATTAGTACAACACTGTACATATCTGGTGCACCACGCTATAACTTGACTGGTGGGGTATTTATTTTTAATGGCTCTGAAAAGTATGTGCTCCAGGGAGATCAGGTATTTATAGTTAATACTGTTGATATTAACACATCAGACTGTTTGTTTTAAGCTTTTGGCACTCAATCAATCAATCAATCAATCAATATTTCATATTGATTATGTAATATGTCATTTTTTGAGACCAGACCATTTTTGATGACCAGTTTCCACCAAAATGAATCGAGTAATCTTTAAATGGTATGCATATCATGAATTCATAGAAAATGTGAAGTATTTAATAAAAACTTTTAGTATGATCTTTTAAAACCTCTAAAAAGTTTTTAAACAAAACATTAACAATACATTTAAATTAAATCATTTATTACTTTAGGAAAGTTTTTTTTTCTTCTGATTGATTATTTGGTGCTCAGTCAGTTACAAGCTCCAGTTTACGCATTTGTTAATGAATTATATATGATATGATATATGATAATGAAGTAATGTATAATTATCATAGGTTGGATCTTACTTTGGATCGGTTCTTTGTGCCTTGGACATTGATAAAGATGAATACACAGATTATCTATTAGTTGGAGCACCACATTTTCATCTAAATGGAGAAGAAGGCAAAGTGCTAGTGTACAAACTGAATCAGGTAAGATCATACTCTCCTTTCAGCTCTTGGATATATGTGTACAGGGGTTTAACATGATTTGTATCTCATGGGGGTATTTTTAATCATCCCAAAGCAGGACAGGTTTGAGAGCGTGTCCAGGGAGCTGAAGGGAGATGAAGGACAGACCTTCGCCAGGTTTGGTGCAGCTATTGCCTCTATAGGAGATATTGATGGGAACAAGTTCAATGATGTAGCAGTTGGCGCTCCTCTAGAAACAGATTCCTCTGGAAGCATTTACATTTACAATGGATTCAAACATGGACTTAACTTTTCACAAGTGCGTTTCAGCATATATTCTTTACACTTTCTTGGAGTGTTTACATAATATTTTATTATTTAAAATTGATTGTTGTAAAATTATATGTGTTTTAATGTAATTAAAGTTTTATGTGTTTTAATGTAATTTGCTGTTTCCTCCTTAGAAAATTTCACCCTCAGATTTTGGAATGAAACTTGTGCACTTTGGTCTGTCAGTAACTGGTGGACCTGCCATGGCATCAAATAAGGCCTCCATTGCTGTTGGAAGTCAAGGGGGGGTGATTGTTTTCGAGTGAGTAAAAAATATCTTGTTATATTGTTTAAAGTGACAAACTATTTTTTACTTTTTATTTTAATATTACACTTCAGAGTACTTTCTGTTTCATTAATGGATGGTGGAACCTTCTCTGTAGACGTCGTTTCATTTTTATACTTTTTTTTTTTACAGGACAATCCCTGTTATTGTTATCAAACCAGATATAATAATTACTCCAGATGTCATTCCTCTCAATCAACAGATGATTGAAATATCCAGCACGTTTGACATAATGTACCACATATGCTTTACAGTGATTAATGGAAAGCTTCAAAGTAAGTATTCTCTTTCAGTTCAGTGAGTATTTTTGATCCAAAACAATCCTCATGATTATTTTAACCATATTCACTTTCTGTCATTTTAAGTTCAACTTCCTATTAAGTACCAAATTGCCTTGGATTCTGGCGTAAACAAAAAGCGCCTCACTGTTGACGGCCGAGATCTCTTAGAAAACACTTTCACCTTGACACCAGATGTAGAGTGTGCACCTGTTATCAACCTAAAATATTTGGTGCGTTGGTTCTGTTTGGCTCTTTTTACCTACCCCACTTGTCCAGTTTTTAAGAAAATAAAACATGTTACAATTGGAACAGATGTTCAGCCTAAACCCAGTACTACTACAAATTGTAAGAATAATTGACAGTATTCACTGAACAGCAAATGATTTCATATAAAAATCATTTGAGAACTATGACTCTTTTTTTATGATACTGACTGAGAAGAACTGTGTCTTCCTTTCAGGGCTGTTTTGATTGTTTTTCACCTATTCAAATCAAGCTGAATTTTTCATTGGATCTCCACTCAAATGAAGCCCCTATACGAATCCTTGATGCATTTACTCCAACAGAGGTTGTAAAGGAGGTAAAATATTTTTAAACATATTCATAATGTAAAAATTTCTCAAGCACTTGTAAACATTCATCTTTCACTGTTTGTTCGCTACTTCACTTCATTTTTCAAATGTTTTAAAAGCAGTGTCTTATGCTCATCAAGACTGCATTTGATTAAAAATACAGTAAAAACACTAATATTCAATATTAAAATGTCAAATTTCAAAATTGTTTGAATATATTTTAAAATATAATTTATTCCTGTGATCAAAGCTGAATTTTCAGCATCATTACCCCAGTCTTCAGTGTCACATGATCCTTCAGAAATCATTCTAATATGCTGATTTGTAGAAACCATGATGCTTTTTTCAGAATTCTTTGATGAATAGAAATTACAAAAGAACAGCATTTATTTGAAATATTTAAATTTGTAACATAAATGTCTTTACTGATTGCCAATCAATTTAATGCATCCTTGCTGAATTTTTTTTTTTAATCTCATCCATCATGTAGTCATTACCCATATTGTGAAATGTTTCATTAAATTACTTTAAATTTCTGTAATAACATTTAAAATGATCATATCATAAAATTATCATCTTTTTGTCTTTTTTAGATTTCCTTTAAAAAGGATTGCAAGGTTACAGATTGTAAACCAAATATTACATTATCTGATTCAAAAATTAGGTATGTACTGATTAAATGTACTCTATTTTAATTTTGTTCTGTGTTTTTGTAACTAAAATCATTTATATTTCAGTGAAACTTCGATCATAATCGGAGAAACTCAAAGCTTGAGTATCAATTTCAATCTTACAAACACTGAAGACCCTTCCTATATGACCACCCTGACTTTGACCTTCCCCAGCATACTGAGTCAAAAGGTTAAAACATGACCTCATCTTCAAAAGCCAATTAAATCTGCTGTTGATACATTTAATAGATATATGACAACCTGGTTTGGTGTCTCACTTACAGAAAATAGAAGGTGCCACCTGTCCTGTGAAGAATGACAATCAGATACAGTGTAATCTTCAACACCCTGTTTTCAAAAGAGGAGCGCAGGTATGAATCAGTCACACATCTTTGAAACATTAGAAATCTGATCTCATTTGCACCTGATTTTTCAGTAATGAAAAAGTTTTTTCTTTTTTTTCTTCAGACCAACCTTTTCATCTCATGGCAGCTCAATGACATCAAATCAGATTTGAAGAATTCTGAGATTATTGCTAATCTAACCAGGTTTGAGAGCTGCATTTCCAACATTTTTATACAATGAAAAGAATTTAGTGTAGAAACAGTTTTTACTCAGAAATTGCTAGTAAAGTTCACAATTACAGAAAAACGGCAAGTGACACATTTAATTAGATGAGAAATTTTGAAGTAAAATAGTACTTTCTTGTAAAATGTGCTCCAATTATCTTTTAATTAAATACATTTACATTTTTACAGTGTATAAAAATCTGCTTTTAAACATTTATTTTTAAAACATTTTCTCTGGTTTTAGTCAGAATCGTGGCTCTAAAATTCTGGACTCTAAAATATATGCATTTGCTGTGAAGTATTCCCTACCAATCCAGCTAACTGGGTAGGTGAACAAACAACCAATATTTCATACCAAACCTCTTGATTTTGTAATATTACGCATATTTATGATTATTATTATCAATATTTGTTTCTCAACAACAGCTCAGCCGATCCAAGCAGACTTAGTATTGAAGAGGGGAAAGAAGGAAAGACTCAGAAGATTCAGTTTGTATTTCAGGTACAGTATATAAAAATTCAATCTCAAAATAGAATGAGCTAAATATGATTTTTACATTTTTTAAATTTTTTTTTTATACATAAAGATGACAAAAATACATTTAATAGCCTGAATATAACTTTTTGGGTTGCTGAAAAATGTAATGAGAAATTATGTTATATTACAGAATATTTTATAATAAAGAAATGTTTTACTCCAAAATTGTTATTACATAACCAATTACTTATCTCTTTATTTTTATTTATTTATTTAGTCATTTAGCAGACGCTTGCCTTTTATCCAAAGCGACTTACAAATGAGGACAACAGAAGCAATCAATTGTAGTATTAAAACAACTAAAAACAAATCCAAAACTAAAAGCTACAACTTTATAAATACTACTTATACACATTTTAAAAATAAAGAGATTAAATAAAAATGACAAATGCATACAACAACATTTCAAAACTTAACATTTAATTGAAAAACAAAAAATAAAGCTAAAAACAATTCAAAATGTTGTACATTTATATTATACATGAAATATTGTATTCTGATTTAGTTTGCAGGTGAAAATAAGTATGGCGCTACAGTCGGTGTAGTTGTAACCATAACAAAGGACACCTTCAAAACTGGTTTGGACATCATTAGTGTCACACCACATGAGGTATCACATGAAATGCAATATTTAGTTCATAGACTAACAATATACAGCATGAAAGCTTTCAAACTAACATCTATTGCTCCTTTCATATTAGGAGTGTGTTTTTTCAGAAAATACTAAAGCGGAGGTAAGATATTACCCTAAAACAATGACCATGTTTTCAAAAAATGTTAAATAAAAGTAGATTAAAATATAAAATATATATTTTTTTTTTTTCATGTAGGGATCCTATGTCATCAACTGTACCATGACAAAGCTGCAGAAAATCATCATTGATGCCAATGTTTTGATACATGATGTTCAGGTATGGCTATATAGTTCAGGTATTCTGACAATCGTTTGCAGCAATGGGTTGTTCATACAATACATCTTTTCAAACTGACAGGAGAAATCAAACAAGATTACTGCCGTAGGAACATACAGCTTTGATGAGACCGTCTATACTGCGAAGGATACTTTGAGGACCATTCCGGTGAGCTGCAGTCCTTTTCGAGCATGCAAACATGTTATCACGTATTTAGTTAGTTACTGATAGATTGAATCATGCCATGCAGGTGGAGGTGATAATTACGAAGCTGCGCGTGACGACATCTAAAGGTCCCATCATTGGAGGATCCATAGGCGGGTTTCTGCTCCTTTTCATCATCATTATCATTCTCATTAAGGTAAAACAAACCCTTCTTCTCTGTCTACACACTTACACTGATAATGATGTTTACAAGGAAGATCAAGTCAAACACATTGCATTGGATATTGTATTCCTTGCAGGAACCTGCAATTGTGTACTGCAAATTTTGGTGAATATAGTTGGTCATTTGAGTGGTTTATGCTTAAAATGTGCATACTGAGGAAATTGTGAGAGTTGTAAGGTTCTATGCTGACTCTGTGATCTCATTTTCAGTGTGGCTTTTTCCGTCGCCGCCGTAAAGTGGACCAAGCACAGAGTCCAAACTGAAGACCGGCACAGCCCAGGAGGGACCATATATTACCATATATCTTGCTTAAGTTTGTGTCAAAAAATATATTGTTTGTAAGATGAATTTATAGTCTTGTTTTTATTGTCAATTTAACATTAAGAAGACGTTTTAATGATTGATTGTATTTAATATTGTATATAAACCTACAGAAAGAATGAAAGACAAAATCTGTGTTTCTAAGTAAATCTAAATCCTAAATATTCCACAATCTAGGGACTGACAGCTATTTCCTTGCACGGAAGTCATTTGCTCAAGATTTGATGAGACACCAAACTCCAAAACCAAAAGTCAAAGATAATTTTTCTGATGGATTTTATGATCCAATTTATAGTATAGCATCTATGGCAATCAAATGGCAAGACCCATTTACAAACCAATTTGCATGAAAAAAAAAATCATCTTAAACCGGTTAAGAACTAACCACCAAAATACATTTGTATTTTGGTGGTTAGTTCTTACCTGGTTTAAGATGATTTCCCAGCCTGGTCAAGGTCATGTTTAAGTAGTTGACTGGTGGTTCTGGTAAGCTGAAAAGTGCTCAGAACTCTTTATAAAACAAACATATAACCAACTTGCCCAGGCTGGGAGACCAGAAGAGACATCATACTCTTTTGAAATTGGAAATAAAGTCTATTAACTAGCGGTCAATAACCTCCACGTGATGTGTACACACATTACAGTCACACATACATACACGTGGTCATGTGATATGCTCTTGCTCTCACATGTCTGGCTATGTTTACTCTTGCATCTGACTACTGAATGTCACAGCTTGTTGTGTAGAAATAAATGGCCACCCAGCAAAGATTTTTTTGTTTCTCTCTAAAACTGTTGAATCATAATACGCATAATGATTATGCGCCTAAATGCAACGTAAAAGCCACCACATTTCCACACATAATAGCCTACTGTCTACGAATAACGAAAAGCGGTGACTGATTGGTCAACGAATCGTTCTTTAGAGTTGGATCTTTTCACTAAAACAGTTCAAACGGTTCACCAAATATGGAGCGATTTTTGTGCCAATATTCATCAAACAAATCCAGCGTTTTGCAAATAAACACAATCTGCTTTGGAAAGAAAAACTCGACTTTCAAACAAACGCAAAGTGATTTGCAAATACAAAACTCTATTTGAGAGAAAATGCAGAGGTGTGGACAAATATATGTATTGTGAGTTACAACTGTGAGACTCATTTACCTTTTCATGAGGAAACTTGGCTTGATTTTCTCATGCGTGCAGGCAGATTTTCTCACAAATGCATCTGAGCAACTTTCTTTTCCAAAAACAGCAGATGGCGCTGTCGGTCAATTTACGCTAGTCTCCCGAGTCCCGAAATACCTGTTTACCTTTTCAGGGAATACAGCATAGAGCCCTGCACGGGCCTCAAATTTAGGCCCTAGCCCGGCCCTGGCCCGAGACGCTCAGGCCCTAGCCCGGCCCGTGTCCGACAGCTTATCAGAATTACCGGCCCGAGCCCGTATTTTTTTCCCCTTCTCCCAAAACAGCTTATACTACTGTTTCAGCTATTAAAATAGTTCAGTTTTGTATGTAATGTCAAAGTGATTATATTTCGTTTAGTTTTTTTATTAAGTTAAT